CAGATGTGGTCGTTGAAGCATCACAATAACCAACATTTCTGAGAGTTACAACAATGCCCTAAAAGGGATATGATTTTTGCCCATTAGAGCTATGATTGATGTTACATTCCACAAAACCGTGAAATTTTACCGAGCCTAATCATTTTTCGCGACAAGTTGTGATACGCCTATCCCCACTGAGCTATGGAAAATCTACGAAGAGAAGAACAACAAAGCCGCCACCTATGATGCTGAACCGTTCGATGGCAACGGTGCTAGTTGGGAGGTGGTAACTCCGACACGGCCGAGTGGGAGGGGTGGGACAGTGTATACGGCCACCTACAACGCCAAAAGGTGTTCGTGCAAGAAATGGCAAGAGTACCAAATGCCATGTACGCATGAACTTGCCGTCACAAGTAAAAAAGGTGATCGGCATGTTTCTCTATTCCATAAGTTTTGGAGGCGTCAAACATGGATTAAACAATTCAAATACAATAGTTTTTCATCGGTGCCTGATAAGCAACAATGGCCTATGGTTAATTGGAAACTTTATCTGAATTACGAGAAGCTCGTGCAAAATGGCGGTCCGGGCCAACACCAAAGAAGGAGACGCAAGATGCAAATGGATTACCATGGTCGGCGAAGAAGTGGTGTTTGTTGGAGATGCGGAGAAGCTCAAGATCCTAATTCGTGTCCTCACTCGTATCCCCAAGTAGATAGAATACCTTTGGTGGACGAATGGGAGCATCAAACTGATTAGTTTGTTGTTGTATTTGAAATGTAGTCTTGCATTCATTTTATTATGTTGTATAATCTTTTCGATTGAACGTTAAATTCGTATCTTGTTTGATGTTAGGATTGAACTATTAAAGTACTACCATAAAGCATAGTACGGTGGAAATTGTTGAATGTTTACAATTTTAGAGTTGATATGGTATACAAAATTTACCATTTGCAAATGTACAATTCTCGAGATTTGCCAAATCCGAAGCTTACCAAATGTAGCATTTAGTAAAGTTTTCGGATTTCGCAAATCCGAATCATACCAAATTTGACTGCTAAGTCTTTCGGATTTGTAGTACTACAAAGGAAAGGTCTCGGATTTGCCAAATCCAAGACTTATTCAGAGCAAATCCGAGATTTGTTGCAGTCAAATACTCAGAGAACTAGGGCAGACTCGGATTTCGATAATTTGAAAGGACTATAAAGGTACGGTCTCGGATTTGCCAAATTCGAGACTCGTTGCAGTTGAAAACTCAGATAAGCAGGGCAGACTCAGAGTTAGGTAATCTGAAAGGACTACAAAGGTACTGTCTCGAATTTGCCAAATCCGGGTCAATTGGGGGTATAAAACGGGTTGACCTTCTTTCCCCAATTCATTTTCAGACTTCCTCCCCCCTAAACCCGAAATCCGCCGTGACCACCCTCCTCCACCACTCCCTCCGCCCCTGTCGGACAATTCCACTCCACCGCCACCGTTCCCCCATCATCGCCGGTCTTCCCTTGTCCGCCGCGACCACCCTCCTCCACCCTAAGACCCCCTCCACTGCCGCGACTGTCCAGAGCTCTGCGAACACCACCGCGCTTAAAAATCCGCCGCCGTCCGTCATCCTTCCCCCCTCCACCGCTGCCCACGACATTTTTCCTACAAGTAACAACCTTTCCTCTTATCAATTGGTGTATTTTAATTTTGACTTAATTTTTTTCCCAATTTCATTTTGCCCTAATCTGATTGGAATTTTTTTTTTGTAAATGTTGCTCTCTAGTGTATTTTAAATGTTTGAATGTTCTATTTTTGATTGTTATTGTGCATAATTTATTGGGTGATTAGTTTTTTTTCTCCCTAATTGTTGGAATTGGTAAATCCGAGGGAACCTATATAGTGACTTTAGTGTTGTTTTAAAGTATACATAGTTCAAGTTGGATTTTGTTGTATTTTTGGATGTATTTGAGCCATATTAATTGATTAGTATTTTTTGGTGTTGTTTTTTTTATCCTTATTTCAATTGGAATATGTTTTTTGTTCTCGAAATTGTATTTTTTGATGTAATTGAGCCATATTATGTGGTTTGTGGTTTTTTTGTGTTGAAATTGTATTGTTTGGATATATTTGAGCCATATTAATTGATTGGTGGTTTATGGTGTTGTTTTTTATCCTTATTTCAATTGAAATATTTTATTGTTCTCGAAATTGTATTTTTGGAGTTTAGCAGTGTTCTACGGCTCCGATCCATTGATGAAAACCGAACCTATAAAAAGGTCGGAGGTTTGATAGTATGTTTTGGGACTGCACACTAGTCCTAAAGCCAAACCTTTGAAATTGAGATCTGATCCGAACCACTACACACCAGTCGGATATGAGTCTTCCTCGACCCGCGTGAAAGTATATGTAAATGTTTATTTAGTATCCTTATTTTATATTACAATTAATCTACGTATGGAAGTGTATTTTATTCTATTAATAGAAATTGTGAATTATACACCTTTAGTTAACGCATCATTTTATTACCAGGCTGAAGTGCTGGACACTGTCCGCTTTAAGGCCATGACATTCCGAGATGAGCATCGTGAAACCCATAACCTAGACGAATAACTTGAAAAGGTGTTCAACGAGATCGTGGATCAAAACTCAAGTTGCTTTAAATCTTGGCAAATCCGATGAGATGGAAATTGAGGATTCCCAAATCCTTATGGATTTTGAATCCGATCAACCCACAAAACCTTCGCGCAGTGAAAGAATGAAGTCGTGGCCAAAAGAGAAAATTCGATGAGGAAGAAAGCAAAAGATGAGAAATCCACCCAGGCCATCACAATCGCAGCATCACGCGAAGGTTTGAGCCAACACAAACAAGAGAATGTGGAAGGAGAGAATGTGGGAGGAGGGGAGGAAATGGGAAGAGAGAATGTGGGAGGAGGGCAGGATGTTGGTTCTTCAAGAGGATCTTACACCCCACACAAATAAGAGCCACTTCTCACCATTATACTAGGAGAAGACTCACAAGTTCTAAACTTGATCCCTCTTGAGACAATTAGACCAGAGTCGCAGCAACCATTTCTTTGCAAATCCGACAGCTCGCACACCTCGTCAAACACTTGTACACCCCTAACTATTCCTAAGACAGGGATAAAATGATGGTAGATTAGTATTTTTTTAGGTTTTTGGATTATTTTGTTTGTAAGTTATGAATTTTAGATGATTTTCTTATGAAAAAGTTATTGTTTTGTTATCGGTTCTTTCTCTACTTTAATTTGTTGTTGGTGTTGTTTAAACAGGTTAAGGACTAGTGAAAACCAGTCCAATATTTTTTTTCGAGTTTATGGTAAGACTCGGATTTCTGAAATCCGAGACTAATCATTTTCTGGACATTCGGATTACCCAAATCCAAAAGTCATGCAGAATATAAAAACTCTCGGATTACCGAAATCCGAAACCCTTCCTCTCTATTTTTACCACTTAGATTTTTTTTTCTCTCGAAAATTAGAATAATATTTTATTCAATATTTCGGATTACCAAAATCTTAAACACGTTGTTTTGGATTAGAATGATCTGTTTCTAGTCAACTTTAATTTTCAAACACTTAGACTTTTTTCCCAAAAAAAAAACTTTTTATTGCCAGCACTCGAATTTGGAAAATCTGAATCGTGATTAATTTTAATTAATCATTTGATTTAATTTAATTAATTTCAGGTCACTAATGTTTCAAATTATCCAAATCCGAGTTTGGCCTCTTTCGGATTTCGAAATCCGAGTGCACTGTGCTATCAGATTTGGCTAATCCATCATAACTACTTTTGTCAACCTAATGCATCCCCACATTATTTTTGTCCATGTTCTTTCCTTAATAATTTTTTTGGTAAAAAACTCTTCAGCTAGATAAAAGTTGTTAATGTTTTAATTGAGAAATTGATCATTAGTGTGAGAGATTAAAAGAAATAAATGACTATATTATAGTAAATTTGTTTATTGATTCAAATTTGAAGGTGGGTGTTTTCCCATATCATCATTGAGCTGGTTAATAGATGATAGTTAGTTATTTTAAAAGTTTTTTCTTTTTAAGAAAATTCCAGGATGGTAACTGGCTGGAGGACTCTGATTTTATTTATATAAAAAGAAAAGTTACAAAGGACAGTGCTTAACACTTACCCAAACAAAAAAAGAAACCCTCTTACAATTTTTTTCTCAAAAAACTCCATAACAGTTCTGATACATATTTCCACTAAGAAACTGTCTCGCAAAGATTCTCAAGATTCCCCTGACAGTTCTCTCTCGATAAAGAAAATTAAAAAAAAAATCTAATCCTTTAGACTAAGAGAAAAATCTAATCACAAAGATCCATGACAGCTCTATTCTTATTCTACCTCCTATTTTATTGTAGCCTCTCTAATGGCGAAGGTCAGTAAAAGATTTATGATCCAAATTAAAAATACCCCGTAAGTATCTTAGAAGGTCAATGGAACTCTATCATATTGTATAGTGTGACCTTGAGATGCCTGTTTTGATATTCAATTGGGCAAACTATTATTCTCTAAAAATATGTTGAACTCGAAAACCATTTTGCTCTAATATGATTTTGATTTAAAGGAATGATGAATGATGTTTCCAAGGAAGATATTTTAAATATTCTAAAATAATGATTCCAAGGAACATTTCACTCTATGACTGACTTTAGATATTTTAAATAATTTGAAGTTCTAACAGGAGGAAATTTCACTCTATGACTAAGTTTAGATATTTTAAATTAGTGAAGTTCTAAAAGATAATTCAATTATATCTGCATGTAACCCAGCAGCCTTATCTTCTAAATTCCTTACCGGAAAAAAAGCAACCACTGCTCCACTCTTCCAACCCAGTAGCCTAAATCCTTACTGGAAAAGAAGCAATCACACCCAAAAACCATGTCTTGAAGACAATCGTCATCAAAATCCAAAAAAATCCAAAAAGGAAGAGTAAAGAAAGATTGAAGATGAGGAGATCGGTAGGTTGGGATGTCTGCCACGTTTTGGAAAAAGGAAAGGGCCTATGATGCCTCCGGAGCCCAAGGTGCCTGGTATTGGGAGAGGTTTTATGTTGCGGATGAATCTGGGAGATAAGAAACTGGTAGATAAGGAGGAGGAGGAAGAAGATGACGAGGAGGAGGAGGAGGAGGAGGAAGATGATGATAATGAGATGTCGGATTCTGAGGCTAAGGAGCAGGATGAAGATAGGAAGTCTCGTCTCTACAGGAGGGTCTCAGGATTCCTGGAGGACACTTACAAAAACTTCTATCCTGGAGTTCCCACCATTAACGTGTTGGTTACTTATCCGAGTTCAGCAAAGTGCATATATGACAGTGAGACAGATCCCTATATTGTTTCAGGTCCTGCTCCAAGAACAAGGCAGCTTGAAATTTCAGCCTCATCTCGAAGGCGGAAGCATCAAGCATTTGTTCCTCCCAAGGGTGCAAAAGTCAAGCCCCATATGTCTAAACAGGAGCAGAGTGGTGGTGTCAGCGGGGTCAGCGGTTTCCGTGCGTCAATGGTGGTGTTTACTGAGAACCCCAAGCAGCTGCAAGGCTTTCTCCAAACTTTCTTAGGCAACTATGATACCATACTAACACCCAACGAGGTAAGTAGCTACCTCGTATGGTCCTCCGTGAAGAGGCTAAACAGGGGGAACTTATTGGTGCATTGGAACTCTTTGTCAGCACGCTCTCAGGACGTGAAGATGTGGTAGTCTCAAAGATTCATAGGGAGACTATTTAGTTAATGATGTTGATCCTCGAAGATTGTTGTCTGCTTCTTCAATATGTAAAAGGTTTACCTTGTTTGCTGTGATGGTTTGTAATGTGATAGACATCTTTTTGGCTAAATATTTAAAAAGCTCACGTAAATGGTTGTGGTTTCTCAAATATCTTAGAACTGAAAGATCTCAATCACATCTGCATGTTGAGTATCAGACTACAACATTTATCCCATTAAGGTTAATATTCCATTACTCGTAAAATGTAATCTGTTATGGTAATTAGTTTTTTCAATGAATCAAAAAATTAAATCTTATGTGGCATGTAGAGATTCATTTGGGTTTTCTCTCTCTGGATATTGCATTAGTATAGTATATAGATAGAGACAACAAAACTTTGCACTATATAAAACTAAAAGATATGGTGACGAAATACGTCTTGACTACATTGTTTCACCACGAATGATAAATCCATAACCAGCCTCATTAGAAATAGAAGATCCATCTAAACGTAGTTCTTTTACAACCATTCTAGTAAAAAGTAACCGATTTTTTTTTCAGCCTATAGTAGGAGGAATTGAGCAATAATTTATCCTTATGCATGTGAAATTCACATTCTTTAGCCACATGATCATTTAGTTATTAACATAAAAATTGAGACACTTTTTTTTATACAAAATATCAGGGATTACTTCTTTTAGCGTTCATTTTATGGGAGTTCAACAAAAAGTTTACAGAGATCAATTTTGGATCAAATCATCAAAAGATAAAACTCACTATCTTTCACTCAACATTCACAAAACTTTCAACTCTTTCGTCGGCGCAGGTTTGAACTAATTAAGATATTCAAAGTAGGGGATTAAAGTAGGATATATGATTTGTAAGGTTCAAAAAAAGTATGCACTCTTTAGTCTGTCTCTTAACTTTCTCCACCACTTCCTGAACCAATGTTAATATTCACCTCTTAATATTCCCATATATCAATATAATTTTTCAACTGTCCTCTAATTAATGCCTTAAAGCATGTAAATAGTGATCAAGTATCTACAGAAATAAAACAAGAATACTAAACATTGATTAACAAAAAAAAGTCACAATATCATGAATCCCACTAACCAATCAATACGGTAACTACATATAAACCCTAAGTTAAAAGTGCTTAGTCACTAAATATTCTTGAAAAAAAATTAATAATATTACGACCACCTCCAAAGCCTAAAATTAAAAACATAAAAACACAAAAATAATGAAACCCTAAAGAAAAAAGAAGTTGTCAACCCCTGGAGAAGAACTTTGAAAGCTTTTGCCACGAAATTGGTCGAAGGTTGCTGCTTCTGAATCATGCATGGTTCTCTTGTGCATGGATCAGATGGTGATGTTGGTGAGGTGATAGTCTGGATGGTGTGTCAAGTTTGTCGAGTGGTTGTGAAAACAAAGCTCTTTGCTTCCTCTTTTTTTTAGCTTTTTTTTAATTCCAATTTCTTAAAGGAAAAGAAACTCTTTTTTTTTGTAGCCACTAATTATAATTTATTGTGTTAAAAACCAGTTTTAACCAACAATACGATTTTACAATTATCTCTCATGATTTAAAACCAAAATAGCATTACAATCAGAACACTACAATTAACCTATCTCTTTTTCATGATTCAAACAAACCTCCTAAGATATATCATATTCAAGAGCTTCATGATTCAAAACATCAAGAGTGATAAACATTGGGGAACTGCATATGAACATCCAACTGGAGTGAGGCGAAGTTTGCGACCTCTCGAACTATGGGAAGTAGAGTAACTTTTAGCCAATTAGAAATTCTAATCTCAGCCGTAAGAAAGAATGGATATCAGGGATGCTCTTCACCAAGAAAGACGCTTCATCATAAAATTCATTATTGAGCTCTTCAGCAATTGGCAATATAGTAGCGAACTGTCGAGCAGTTGGCGAGTCCGCAGTTCAGAGCATCGGCAAACACAAATCCGTTTGGGAGCCCACCATTGGCAACTCCCCCATTCAGAGCACTGACGAAGTTCGAGAGTCCGTTGGAGATGTTGTTTGCAAAAATAATAATAATAATAAAATTAAAAAAATCTCAACAACCCCAGTTTTGGCAAATTTTATTAAGTTTAATCATGACCCATCAATTAATTAATCAAAATCTATTACCTTCTCGGGCAACCCAAAGTTAGAGGTTCAAAATTGCATATTTATTCATTCAAGTCCTCCTAATTTTTTCCTCATCAATCACTCTAATGTTCACTTTTGCCCTAATGAATTCATTTGAGTAAAGTTTATTTCTTCGACTTTATCTTTAGTTTAGTCTAAAATTTTAACAATTCTTCATTTGAGTAACATTCTGACAAATAAATATAAAATCATATAAATAGCAAAAATGTACTCAAAATATATGACAAGATCTAAAGTTAAGGATACAATAAAGAGCAATGATAGCCAAAGTGACAGCATATAGTGAATTTGGATAGTGACTAATGAAAAGACATTTACACCACACTCACTATACATGCGTGTTTACTAATTAAGGGTAAAAATATAATTTAACAGAAAAGATAAAATTCCAACGGGAGAGAGACAAAAAAAATAAGGGGCCATAATTACTCCACATCAATTATTATTTTTTTCACTATTTTTTTTCACCATACATATCGTTTTCCTATAATAAATCTGTATATTCTAAGCATATCACCTCAGGAACCATATGTGCGGCTGTAGCAGAATTTGAGGAATTTGAAGGTTGACCGAAATTAGCATAATACCCTTTTACCTTTCTAACAAAATAGAAGGGAAACATCTTAAGTTTGTCAAAATTTACTATCAACAAAATAGTACTTACACTCTCTATTAGCACAATAAAAAAACAATTATAATACCATGTGGACATTTACTAAAGCTCTATATCTTAGGAAAAAATAATAACCAAGAAAGGCAAAACTATCATGTTTTTTTATCCCTTAATTAACCAACACAAAAGATGAAAAGTTACAAGTTACGCACCTGCAAGAGCAAACTATGGTATCACACTATCTTTTTCTTCGTCATAAGCGATAGTAATCATATTTAATAAAATCAAAAGAGATACAACCACAATAGTTGAGCCACAACATCCTAATTAAAGTATTACAATATGTCTTTCTCACTACACCTAACCATAGAATTAATTATAAAACCCCAAATCTATATATAGAGTTAGGTCAAGCTAATATGATAAGATTGTAGCAATAGTCGCTAAATATAGAGAAGATTCAATAAGTTTATATAGAGACAAGAGAATTTTATTCTAATAAAGGATAAATAGAATAAAACCTTATGATACTAAAACTGCAGAGCGTTTAAGATTTTTTGTGCCTAGAAGTCCCAGATTTGTCGTCGTTTCATCCGTTATTAATCTTCAAAACCTGTGTTTATTTTCATCTACACCTATAAATATCGGATCTGAGTTCTCTCTATGAGATCTATTGAAGAATGACTATCTAAAGAATAAAAATAAAAAACCAAGCTCTACCAACAAGATATGAAAACTTCTAAAAAATGTATCAAAAAATATATCAAACTATACGACATTTTAGTGAAAGGAGTAACAACATCAAGCAATCTATAGAGAGAGAGATAGAGAAAGCATATCATTCCACCAAAGAGAATTTCAAGCTTTGTCGGCAAAAACTTTACAAATAATTATGAAATAGGGTTAATGCAATACTCACTTACTTTCACGATCAAAGGATGAGTATGTCCTTCTATTGCCCATCTAGATTTATATTAAAAAACGTGATATCCGTTACCATTTGCTGCTTGTCACTCGTGATACGAGCAAATAACTGATTCTATTTGTTCAACAAAAACAAAAAGAAAGAATAGGGTACAGACCTTAAAAAAAAAAATTAATCATCAACCTGAAACCATGCAAGTAGACAAACAGACCAAACTGACATATGCATCAAGGAAAAAAAAAATCCTAGAAAGTATTGAATTCTATCTTTTGAAACAAGAAAGCAAAATCAAGAACAGAAAACTACACTAAAGAAAGTTACAACTACACTAAATACATGATCAATAATAGAATCAATTTGAAAGTTGCCATTTGGAGAATATATATATATATATATATATATATATATATATATATATATATAATTACTATCAATCAATTACATTCAACAAAGAAAAATTTCGATAATAAGCAAAATCATGTTGTTGTTTAGAATCCACAAAAAGGAGAAAAGAGACACTACCTAAAACCCAAATCATGCTACATGTCTAGTGTTCCCAAAAGTTTTATTGAACTCAGTATAGTCTAAATTCGTTTTCTAAAAAGTGAGCTTAGCTCCATAATTGAAGGCTCCAAAAACATCTAAAGCATAACTCAAAATATAAAATTATTTCATGTTTATAAAAAAAAAGATTATTTCCTAACCGAGCAAACCCTGTTAAGAACTGGAATATGGACTTCAATTTTTCCTGAATCATGTGAGTTGCAGCCTATGAATCACATTTGTCCTATACATGTAGTGTGTTGCACGATCAGTGTTTCTTCAGATTATTTTATTCTATTCTTACTTGAGAAGAAAAATTACGGTCAATATAAGTTAGAATATCTGTCTGTAAGCATAAAGTTGACGAGAAAGTGTAAAAATAATTTATTTTTATTGTATTCTATGTAAAGAGTAGAATTATAATTTCGCACTTATTTAATTATAAAATGGAAGGGTATAGATGATACATCTAGTGTGTATATTTGAAATAGTTGATTAAATAGAAGCATAATTTAACACACACAATAAAACAAAATGACCCTAATAAATGTTCTGAAGTGTTATTTTAATGTATTAAAATAGGTTAGTGATTCTACCAATACAATTTTTTTAGCATCCAGGACAAACATGACATCATTACCGTTATGTGGTCAAATATATCGTATTTCGTTTTTTCTTTCCTCGGATCCAGTTTGCCGTCGTCGTTTTCTTCTTTCTTTGATCCTATCTCTT